TATCTTAGGTTTCATGGGCCAGATGGCCTCTGTCATATATGTTCTTCTTCCTTGGTGTTGTTTACAACCTTTTAAAAATGTAAAAATCATTCATAGCTGGGGACCACAACAAACCAGGCCAGGCAATGGTTTGCTAGCTTCTGATCTAGATGCTTATTGCTGGCAACTGGGAAATGTTAGAATCAGTCAGCACTGAAGGAGCCTTGCTCATGTGTTTGTATCTAGCCATCTATGCAAAGATTCTCTACAATTTTCATATCTCTTAATATGGCTATAATTCACTCTTTTCCTTTCAAATATTTCCCCTCATCTTTCTCTGTCAGTTGAATGATAGCAGTGATGTCGACAACCTGGCTTGTCCTTGACATTAATGTATCTGTTGTATCACAGATAAGTTTGATATTGGCTGTTACTTTCCTTTTCCAAGATTAAGAAAGAGTATTAAGCAAGAATGACTGTTATATGAAGTACCTTTATTATTATATTTTTAAGCATCATTTATTCGTTCTCCATATTTTGGGGAGCCTTTAATACAGGTGCGAAGTTAGGCACTGGGGATAATGCCTCTTGTTCTGCACCTGTCTGGCTGAGCAGGTAGACATTATCTTGTTGTATCGTAACCATCTTTATGGTTCCCAGACGCCATGATGAGGTGTGGTGATCAGAGGCAGCACTGATGGGAGTTACCCCAAGGGAAAGGCGTGAGATGAAGGGTGCCTATTTTGGAGGGACAGCATGTGCAAGGGCCTGAGGGCTAGAGGAGAACCCAACACCTTCAAGGAACTGAAAGATGGAAACTACAGCATAGCGAGGGCAAACTTCACCATAGGCTTCACAGTGGACCTGCAGCCTTGTTAAGGAATTTGGGTGTCATTCTCTGGCTAATTAGGATGCCATCAAAGGGTATGGTAGTTTCTGTAGCATGGCCGTGCCCGTTGCAGTAGAGCTATCAAGATGGAACAAGAAAATGAGACGAGGCTGTTGTGCTGTTGAGATGATGGCTCGTGCCACGGAGTGGCCAGAAGTGCGCAGATTTGGGGGTTCCTGGTCTAAGGGGAGCAGGCTTTAGCCCTGGAGAAGGAGCTTGGTCATTTCAGCCCCTCGGACCTCCCTCAAAAATCACAAGGAGGACAGAAAGTATCCTGAAGACAATGTTTAAGGCCAGCTGGCCTGGACCTTATTCGCTCAGGGAGGTTGGCTGTAAACTGAGGATAGTTTTATGTCTTGTTTGTACAAACATTGTTAGGACAGGAATACTGATTTAAGTTTGAATCCTGCTGCTGCACTGCTTATAGCTGTGTGTCCTTTGGCAAGTTACTTAACTTCTGTGAAGCTCAGTTTCCACTTTTGTGGAGTTAGTGTGCCTATCAAGTAATACTATGCTTACTAGGGAGAAATAATTGCCATTTATATAATGAGATGTAAGAGATGTGTCTGGCACACATCGGCGCTTAGCTGGAAAACTGCTGTCATTATTATTGTTTTCGTTATTTGTGAATCTGATCTTTTATCCCCCAGCACCTCCTTTCCCCTTGTCATGTAGTCAGGGGCAAGATAGCAGTGGCTTTGCTTATTCTCTTTCTTTTGCAAGGAGTAGGAAGTGGCGTCACTGGGCACTGTGGGAGGACAAACTTTCCCTGGTGTCAGGTTCCCTGGGAGATTTTGGCTTTTGTTTTACCACAAATTCTAACACAGGCCCTAAACTCCACCTTTTTAAATCTTTTGCTGCGTTTGCCTTTGGGCCTTGGCATTTCCCCCCACAAAAGTTCTGGTCTGTGCATAAAACACTCTGATCTCAGGTTGATGCGTGGTTTCTGGCCTTCAGGCTGTCTTCATCAGTCTTGAGTACTTGCCTGTTGAATACTCTGTCATTTTGGAACTTAAAAGGATGCGTTTTTGTTTTCAGTGTTCACTATCTTCTCCCTTTCCTCCTCTTCTTCTTCCCTCCATTTGTCCACCCTTCCCAGGCTTTGCAGCCCTCTGCCCCAAAGCCTTTCTCAAAGCTTCCTGCCCTGTACTTTATTTGGCCCCAAAACCTTTCATGCTCATTTGGGTCTATATCTTCAGGACTCTCTGAAGGCTGCTGTTCGGTAAGAGACAGGCAAAGGGAGTGGATGGGCCCCCTCAGTATAGCTTGTGAGGGTCGGTTAAACATTTGGTAGGGAAATGGAGTACAGAGTTCTTGACGAAAAGTGGTCTTGTCAGGATGGAATTAGTCCCCCTCTGTTCCTGGTGATGGGGAGCAGTGGAGAGGGTTGGCTACTGCAGTGGATGTACACATCTGAAACAAACGTGAAGATAAAATTAACCTAGTAGAATAAATGTATTCTACATTAAAGTCCTGTCATTTTCCCTAAAGTTAACGTGAGTGTGCTGGCATCCTAATGGCAGTGGGGCTGGATGTAGAGCAAAGAACTTATTGGTCCCTCTGAATGTGACTGTAAGGCAGGTGGCCTTGTAAAAATCTAACAATTTCACCATCCTCTTGTCCTGTCTTCTGGAAAACATAAGCTCTTGGTCAAGGTCAAAATGTCAGGGCTGCTTCAGGCAGATTTTATATTTAGGTATGTTAGCTGTCACACTGTATCTTTTTTTTTTTTTTCAGATCTTGGGAAGCTGATGGATGGCAGTGGCTAAATCACAATGTAGAAGATTGATGGATTTGATTACATACAAATAAAAACAGTTCTAAAAGATCATTCACAAAATTCATGAGCAAACAAAAAGCTGGGATAAGATATTTGCATCAAATATAACAAAAAATTACTGTCTGTGCTGTGCATGTTTAGCAGCACTCCTGGCCTCCACTTATTAGATACTAGTAGCTCTCCCCCAGTTGTGACGACCAAAAATGCCTCCAGACATTGCCAAATGTACCTTGGAGGAAAAAAATCACTCATCGTTGAGAGCTGCCTCTTTAAAGCGACATGTATATAATGTGAACAAGAATGCAAAATGTGCATGAACATTTAAACCAAAAGAGCCACCTCAAAAAATTTTGGTGTGTGCACCTAGCTCGATTCTATAGAGGCAACTTGATATTCTGGCAACTATTTCTTTTATTTTTTCCTTTTTGCCCTCTAACTATTGAATTTTCAAATTTTGTTAATTCTTTCTCTTTTTTTATTTGTTTCTATTTCAGTTTTTCCCCTGGCTCATCTAAAGTATTTGTTGAATGAAGTGTCCATAAGAGAATTCTTTGAACAGATGTTTTTCTACTTGTCTTTCCAAACTTCTTGTAGGTTTGCCTTCACACTTGCAGGACAGCTTGTCTGGGTTATTCATTCCTTGTGGGAAATTAATTGGTGCTAAGGTCTAACATTGTTCTAATCTGAGTGCCAGTGAATGTTTTCTGTCCCTTCTCGCCCCTACATGCTTGTGGTATTTTTTTCTTTATCTTAGGGAATTCCCTGGCAGTCCCGTGGCTAAGACTGCGCTTTCACAGCCAAGGGTGCAGGTTAAATTCCTGGTCAGGGAACTAAGATCCCGCAAGCTGTGCTGCGTGCCCCCCACCAAAAAAAAGTAGAAACACCTAGGCATGTTTGATTGTACGTGTGCCAATCCTGGAAGGGATCCCTTGTGCCCTCTCTCTTTTTTTAAAATAAATAAATTTATTTATTTATTTTTGGTTGTGTTGGGTCTTTGTTGCTGCGTGCGGGCTCTCTCCAGCTGCGGCGATCAGGGGCTACTCCTCGTTGCAGTGCACGGACTTCTCATTGTGGTGGCTTCTCCCGTTGGGAGCACGGGCTCTAGGTGCGTGGGCCTCAGCAGCTGTGGCACGTGGGCTTCAGTAGTTGTGGCTCATGGGCTCCAGAGCGCAGACTCGGTAGCTGTGGCTCATGGGTTTAGTTGCTCTGTGGCATGTGGGATCTTCCCAGACCAGTGCTTGAACCTGTGTCCCCAGCATTGGCAGGTGGACTCCCAACCACTGCATCACCAGGGAAGTCCCTGTGCCCTCTCGTTTTTTAAGCCAAATTCTCCAAATGCTTTTTAATCTTTTGGTGGGTCTCTTTTATTGTTCAAGTCATACTTCTGTTGTTTGAAATTGAGTTTTTAATATTTTCTGCTGCATGGAATTGTTTCAGTAGCTTCCTGCCTTTGACTTTTACTTGGATTTTCTCTTAGTTTGGAGCATTGTCCAGATTCTCTAAGATTCTCTGAGCATGTCAGATCCAGCTTGGGTCTTGATTCTCCTCGGACCCTTTCTTATCTCTTGCCACTGTACTTCCCCAACCCCCTTTTTAGGGGTTGGATTACTTTTTTAGGTTTATGTTGTCATTTGATTTGATATTGAATGTTTCGGTTCTGTTTTTTGTATGGCATTCTAGCCCATTTAAGCTCACCTTGCCACCTTCCTGGAGTTCTGTATGGCCATTTAATCCTAGGTTGGTCTTGTCTCCTCTTTTTTGTGCTTTTCAGTGTCTTCCCAGCCTTTAATTGGGCACCTGTAGGTAATTCAAAATTATTTTAATATCCATACAATCGTAGTAAATTGGCTATAACTGAACTGTCTAGTATGATTGCCACCAGCCACAAGTGGCTATTTAAACTTAAATTTGATACAGTTTAAAGGTTCAGTTTCTCTATTGCACTAGTCACATTTCAAGTGCTCAGTAGCCAGTGACTAGTGACAACCGTATTGGACAAGGCAGATGTAGAACATTTCCATCATTGCAGAAAGTTCTATTGGATAGTGCTGGGCTATAAGATAGATACCATAATGCATGTCAGAAAAATCCCTCTGCTATTTTTTCTCCCTAGTATTCTAATATTTTTTGGTGGTTCAGTTTGGTGGTTCCCCACCCCCCAACCCCAAAAGGTGATTCAGAATCTGAGTGACTATAAATGAAGGTGGATGGGGACTTGAAAAGTGTAATAAGTTTTTTTGGTGTTTGGATATAATTTGTACTTCGACTTTCCCATGCAGGAAACACAGTGTCTGTGTGTCCTGTACTGTTTAAGTGCTTGATGTAATTTGGCTGCTTTCTCTTTTTCTAGGTGTGCTGAGAGATGGCACTTGTGGGGCTCATCTCTGCCTGAGAATCGGCACTGGAAGAGCTGAATCTGATCCTGGGCTCCTTGTGTGAACAAGCCTTAACTTCCAGCCACTTCAGTCCAAAGGCCAAGTTACTCGCTTTCTCTTAATGATGGGTATTGGTAAGAACACTACATCCAAATCCATGGAGGCTGGAAGTTCAACTGAAGGCAAATATGAAGATGAAGCGAAGCACCCGGCTTTCTTTACTCTTCCGGTAACAGCATTTCCTGTCTTTTCTCTTCTTAAGTCACTCTAAAGTAGTTTCTGCATTGACTAGGATTAGCTTTTTTTAACCCAAAGAAAGTTTAGTATTAGTTTTCTTTTTTGTTTTGTTTTGTTTTATTTTATATAGCAGGTTCTTATTAGTCATTAGTTTTATACACATCAGTGTATACATGTCAGTCCCAATCGCCCAATTCAGCACACCACCATCCCCACCCCACCGCGGTTTTCCCCACTTGGTGTACATACGTTTGTTCTCTACATCTGTGTCTCAACTTCTGCCCTGCAAACCAGCTCATCTGTACCTTTTTTCTAGTTTCCACATACATGTGTTAATATATGATATTTGTTTTTCTCTTTCTGACTTACTTCACTCTGTATGACAGTCTCTGGATCCACCCACGTCTCAACAAATGACTCAATATCGTTCCTTTTTATGGCTGAGTAATATTCCATTGTATATATGTACCACAACTTCTCTATCCGTTCGTCTGTCGATGGGCATTTAGGTTGCTTCCATGACCTGGCTATTGTAAATAGTGCTGCAGTGAATATTGGGGTGCATGTGTCTTTTTGAATTATGGTTTTCGCTGGATATATGCCCAGGAGTGGGATTGTTGGATCATATGGTAATTCTATTTTTAGTTTTTTAAGAAACCTCCATACTGTTCTCCATAGTGGCTGTATCAATTTACATTCCCACCAACAGTGCAAGAGGGTTCTCTTTGCTCCACACCCTCTCCAGCATTTGTTGTTTGCAGATTTTCTGATGATGCCAATTCTAACTGGTGTGAGGTGATACCTCATTGTAGTTTTGATTTGCATTTCTCTAATAATTAGTGATGTTGAGCAGCTCTTCATGTGCTTCTTGGCCATCAGTATGTCTTCTTGGCAGAAATGTCTATTTAGGTCTTCTGCCCATTTTTGGATTGGGTTGTTTGTTTCTTTAATATTGAGCTGCATGAGCTGTTTATACATTTTGGAGATTAATCCTTTGTCCGTTGATTCATTTGCAAATATTTTCTAACATTCTGAGGGTTGTCTTTTCGTCTTGTTTATGGTTTCCTTTGCTGTGCAAAAGCTTTGAAGTTTCATTAGATGCCATTTGTTTATTTTTGTTTTTATTTCCATTTCTCTAGGAGGTGGATCAAAAAAGATCTTGCTGTGATTTATGTCAAAGAGTGTTCTTCCTATGTTTTCCTCTAAGAGTTTGATAGTGTCTGGTCTTACATGTAGGTCTTGAATCCATTTTGAGTTTATTTTTGTGTGTGGTGTTAGGGAGTGTTCTAATTTCATTCTTTAACATGTAGCTGTCCAGTTTTCCCAGCACCACTTATTGAAGAGACTGTCTCTTCTCCATTGTTTATCTTTGCCTCCTTTGTCATAGATTAGTTGACCATAGGTGTGTGGGTTTATCTCTGGGCTTTCTATCTTGTTCCATTGATCTGTATTTCGGTTTTTGTGCCAGTACCATATTGTCTTGATTACTGTAGCTTTGTAGTATAGTCTGAAGTCAGGGAATCTGATTCCTCCAGCTCTGTTTTTTTCCCTCAGGACTGCTTTGGCTCTTCAGGGTCTTTTTGTCTCCAGACAAATTTTAAGATTATTTGTTCTAGTTCTGTAAAAAATGCCATTGGTCATTTGATAGGGATTGCATTGAATCTGTCGATTGCTTTGGGTAGTATAGTCATTTTCACAATATTGATACGTCCAATCCAAGAACATGGTATATCTCTCCATCTGTTGGTATCATCTTTAATTTCTTTCATCAGTGTCTTATAGTTTTCTGCATATAGGTCTTTTGTCTCCTTAGGTAGGTTTATTCCTAGGTATTTTATTCTTTTTGTTGCAATGGTAAATGGGAGTGTTTCCTTAATTTCTCTTTCAGATTTTTCATCATTAGTGTATAGGAATCCAAGAGATTTCTGTGCATTTAGGATTCTCTATATATAGTATCATGTCATCTGCAAACAGTGACAGTTTTACTTCTTCATATCCGATTTGTATTTCTTTTATTACTTCTACTTCTCTGATTGCCATGGCTGGGACTTCCAAAACTATGTTGAATAATAGTGGTGAGAGTGGACATCCTTGTCTTGTTCCTGATCATAGAGGAAATGCTTTCAGTTTTTCACCATTGAGAATGATGTTTGCTGTGGGTTTGTCGTATATGGCCTTTATTATGTTGAGGTAGGTTCCCTCTATGCCAACTTTCTGGAGAGTTTTTATCATAAATGCGTGTTGAATTTTGTCGAAAGATTTTTCTGCCTCTTTCGAGATGATCATTTTCTTTTTTTCTTTGCGGTATGTGGGCCTCTCACTGTAGTGGCCTCTCCCGTTGTGGAGCACAGGCTCCAGATGTGCAGGCTCAGTGGCCATTGCTCACGGGCCCAGCCGCTCCGCAGCATGTGAGATCTTCCCGGACCGGAGCACGAACCCGTGTCCTCTGTATCGGCAGGTGGACTCTCAACTACTGTGCCACCAGGGAAGCCCGATCGTATGGTTTTTATTCTTCAATTTGTTAATATGGTGTATCACATTGATAGATTTGCTTATATTGAAGAATCCTTGCATTCCGGGGACAAATCCCACTTGATCATGGTGTATGATCCTTTTAATGTGTTGTTGAATTGTTTGCTAGTATTTTCTTGAGGATTTTTGCATCTATATTCATCAGTGATATTGGTCTGTAATTTTCTTGTAGTATCTTTGTCTGGTTTTGCTATCAGGGTGATGGTGGCCTCATAGAATGAGTTTGGGAGTGTTCCTTCGTCTGCAATTTTTTGGAAGAGTTTGAGAAGGATGGGTGTTAGCGCTTCTCCAAATGTTTGATAGAATTCACCTGTGAAGCCATCTGGTCCTGGACTTTTGTTTGTTGGAAGATTTTTAATCACAGTTTCCATTTCATTACTTGTGATTGGTCTGTTCATGTTTTCTATTTCTTCCTGGTTCAGTCTTGGAAGGTTATACCTTTCTAAGAATTTGTCCATTTTTTCCAGGGTGTCCATTTTATTGTCATAGAGTTGCTTGTAGTCATCTCTTAGGATGCTTTGTATTTCTGCAGTGTCTGTTGTAACTTCTCCTTTTTCATTTCTAATTTTATTGGTTTGAGTCCTCTCCCTCTTTTTCTTGATGAGTCTGGCCAATGGTTTATCAATTTTGTTGATCTTCTCAAAGAACCAGCTTTTAGTTTTATTGATCTCTGCTATTGTTTTCTTTGTTTCTATTTCATTTATTTCTGCTCTGATCTTTATGATTTCTTTCCTTCTGCTAACTTTGGGTTTTGTTTGTTCTTCTTTCTCTAGTTCATTTAGGTGTAAGGTTAGATTGTTTATTTGAGATTTTTCTTATTTCTTGAGGTAGGCTTGTATAGCTATAAACTTCCCTCTTAGAACTGCTTTTGGTGCATCCCATAGGTTTTGGATCGTCATGTTTTTATTGTCATTTGTTTCTAGGTATTTTTTGATTTCCTCTTTGATTTCTTCAGTGATCTCTTGGTTATTTAATAATGTATTGTTTAGCCTCCATGTGTTTGTGTTTTTTACGTTTTTTTCCCTGTAATTGATTTCTAATCTCATAGCGTTGTGGTCAGAAAAGATACTTGATATTATTTCAATTTTCTTAAATTTACTGAGGCTTGATTTGTGACCCAAGGTGTGATGTATCCTGGAGAATGTTCCATGCGCACTTGAGAAGAAAGTGTAATCTGCTGTTTTTGGATGGAATGTCCTATAAATATTAATTAAATCTATCTGGTCTATTGTGTCATTTAAAGCTGGTGTTTCCTTATTAATTTTCTGTTTGGATGATCTGTCCATTGGTGGAAGTGAGGTGTTGAAGTTCCCCACTATTACTGTGTTACTGTTGATTTCCTCTTTTATAGCTGTTAGCAGTTGCCTTATGTATTGAGGTGCTCCTATGTTGGGTGCATATAAATTTATAATTGTTGTATCTTCTTCTTGGATTGATCCCTTGATCATTACATAGTGTCATTCCTTGTCTCTTGTAACATTCTTTATTTTAAGGTCTGTTTTATCTGATATGAGTATTGCTACTCCAGCTTTCTTTTGATTTCCATTTGTATGGAATATCTTTTTCCATCCCCTCACTTTCAGTCTCTATGTGTCCCTAGGTCTGAAGTGGGTCTCTTGTAGACAGCATATAGATGGGTCTTGTTTTTGTATTAATTCAGCAAGCCTGTTTCTTTTGGTTGGAGCATTTATTCCATTCACGTTTAAGGTAATTATCAATATGTATGTTCCTATGGCCATTTTCTTAATTGTTTTGGGTTTGGTTTTATAGGTCCTTTTCTTCTCTTGTGTTTCCCACTTAGAGAAATTCATTTAACATTTGTTGTAGAGCTGGTTTGGTGGTGCTGAATTCTCTTAGCTTTTGCTTGTCTGTAAAGCTTTTGATTTCTCCATCGAATCTGAATGAGATCCTTGCCTGGGTAGAGTAATCTTGGTTGTAGGTTCTTCCCTTTCATCACTTGAAGTATATCATGCCACTCCCTTCTGGCTAGTAGAGTTTCTGCTGAGAAATCAGCTGTTAACCTTATGGGCGTTCCCTTATATGTTATTTGTCGTTTTTCCCTGCTGCTTTTAATAATTTTTCTTTGTCTTTAATTTTTGCCAATTTGATTACTATGTGTCTCAGTGTGTTTCTCCTGTATGGGACTCGCTGCACTTCCTGGACTCTGGTGACTATTTCCTTTCCCATGTTAGGGACGTTTTCCTCTATAATCTCTTCAGATATTTTCTCTGGTTCTTTCCCTCTCTCTTCTCCTTCTGGGACCCCTACAATGCGAATGTTGTTGCATTTAATGTTGTCCCAGAGGTCTCTTAGGCTGTCTTCATTTCTTTTCATTCTTTTTTCTTTATTCTGTTCTGCAGCAGTGAATTCCACCATTCTGTCTTCCGGGTCACTTATCCGTTCTTCTGCCTCAGTTATTCTGCTATTGATTCCTTCTAGTGTAGGTTTCATTTCAGTTAT